AGGAATGCCAGGGACACGCAGCCCCACTGTGAGGCACTCCTGAGAGCAGTCCTGGTGCTGCACCAACACAGCAAGCAGTGTGTACAGACTGGGAGCAAGTGGGCTGGGTGAGGGCTTGTTCCTTAGCAGTGATCTCATGATTGCCAAGGAGGCATCTACACTGCAGCTTGGCAAATCATACCTGGGTTAGCTCTGCACTAGCACCAACAGCAAAGCAACCGCTGCAACACATGCTCCAGCAACAAAGTACTGCTTTCCTGACTGCACAGAGCTGCTATATGCAGACTGCTCCCAGTGTCTGCAAGAGCTAGTCCAAAGCTAACTAACACATGGCCATCAGTTGCAATCACACTTCTGGATCTCCTTGTAGACATAGCCCTTGTATCAGAGTGATGAAGGTCAAAGTGGATTTGCAAGGGAAAATTAGCAGACCTGTCAGACCAGAGAGGAAGTGCATTTTTTTCTGTCTTTCAGGAACATATTGTACTTTGCTTCTGTTGACACAGCACCAGGGTGCATCATCCAGCCAGTCCAGCACAGGAGATGGGAAAGTGTTTTCCCCCTGCAAAGTAAAACACATTTTGCAGAAATATCCAGCCCTGAAGGCCTAAAGTAGAGACCTTATTCTACCAGTTCAAGCCTTTCCCCTGCACCCCTCTCACCACAGTAATTTCACACCACCCTATACGTAACCGTTATGAAACCTTCTTAGTACACATCTCAAAGCACTTCTCTGTTAAGGTTTCCTCGTCTCTTATAAAGCATCCTTCCCTCTGCTGCTAGTACAAATAACTCACTGGAAACATAATACTTAAAACTGCTTGCAAAGGCATTAATGTATAAGTAGGCAGCCTTGTTCTTTTATTAGTGGTTGTGGTGAAATAGCTGTTCTTTGCTGAAAGACTTGCTGAGACTTTTGCCTAGGATTTCCGATTAAATCTCCATCAGAGGAGGGCAGTCCTGCTCTCACTGCATTCAGGGGGAAGCCATGCCTGTGTGCAGACTGGGGGTGGGCTCATGACAGTGCTGAGAGATGACGAGAGGACTAAGTGTCTTGTTAACTTGCCAGTTCAGGGCTTCTGTCAGGCAGGGTTTTGGCACCGTCTCTCTGCAGAGATGAGGAAACGCTGAGCAAAAGTTTGGCCCATCTGAAATGGGACCAAACCAGTTCAGTGCTTGTCCCTCAGAAGGTTCTGGCACCATTGAACACTGTAGGGAAGAAGGAAGCAGCACTGTGCCTAGCAACTGAAATTAAATTATCTTGGGGTGAAATGGCAGCAACTACCTTGCAGTACAGAGTAGTGCTACCCAGTGGGTCACAGCAGACTCTTTCTAGCTGACAGAACATGGACTCCGAGTGCAGACCACTGAGTCACTCAGAAATCCCCCAAGGGACCTCCTCTCCAGACATTGCTTCAATTTGGTTTCTTGCTGACCTGATGTGAGCTGACCAGAACCCAGCCTCAATATTATGGCTGCAAGGTTCAGATATGTAGGCAGCAGAATTTGCAAGCATAATTTCTTGAATAATTTCTGAAAATTGGCCACGTTTCACCTTTTTGATCGGTGTGCTTGAGAAATCCTCTCTTCATAGAGCAAACAACTGGAGCAGAGACCCAAGGCTTGTGTTCTTTTCTCCCAGGAGGTAGATGCAGCCTGGCTTGAACTAGTCTGTAATGTTCGTCAGCCTGATCCTATAAAAGGCAAAAGCCAAATTCTGAGACACGTCAGCTTAGAGAGCATTTCCTCTGGGTGTCGGGAAAGCAGGAAACTCCAGGGCAAAGAACCAGCCCGTGACAGCATGTCCAGAGTGTACGAATGAACTTAGAGGGGGCAGGGATCCAAACCTGGCTTGAGTCGCAAATTGCTCCCAAAGCATTCATATACCTTTTGGTGCAACATTACGTAACACCAGCCTCGCTCTTGAAAATCTGCCAGCTTTCACTAATAGAAGAGCTGAAAGGAGGAGGTGAGAATAAAAACAAATAAATACACACAGAGGCAAAATAGAGGCAGCTACCTACACACTAGGCCAGTTTCTCAGATTGTCAGCAGGAGAGGAAATGCAAGGTGCAACAGTTATCTGGGACTGACTCCAGCATGAGTGGGATAAGAAGCATGTCCACAGGTCTGGCTCTCCTAAGTTACTGAAGGTGGGAATCACTGTGCACAGAAGGACCCACTCACATCAGTGACCATCTTGGGTGGAGAGATGAGGGCTCAGCCCACCTAGATCAGCTCTTGGCTGCCTCTGGGTGTACTCATGCTTCTGGCTCACAGATTATGTCCTTTTAATCAATCATGGGGAATTTCTCTCCTCTCTCAATTTCTTGTAGCCCCTGACTTTGGGGTCTCTCCTTTCCTGAGACCCACTGTTGTGGTCTTTCTTTGCTGCTTGATTCCAGCCTGACATTCCTCTGTGGCGTTCTGGAGTCGCTGTCACTGTGTTGCACAAATGGCTAGTTTTGTGCCCCTGGAGGCTTGTCCAATCCACCTGTAGGAGAGAGTCACACACAGGCTGGGTCCAAGTTCAGATTTATTGTTTGCAAACAAGTTCGACAAGGGAGCTTAATTTACTCAAATCCGTGTCGACCCCAAACAGAGTCTGGGGTTCCTTTTTATAGCTAACATAAACAAAAGATTCTAACGTGTCGCGTAATTATTGGCAGCCCAAGTATTACGTCTTACAACATATGTCTAGCAGGTACATATTCTATGACGGTTTACATACATGTCTCATTTACATCTTAAATCTCCTCCCTGGGGCCGTCCTTAAGTCCATTTCGGTCATTCTTCGGTCAAGGTCTGAGTTCTTCACATCAGCATCTCTCCCTGTCCCTCTTCTCTTATCTCTCGTAAGGAGTTATTTGTTGCATCTGTTCCTGGCTATGTCTGCAAAAGTCTAGTGCTACTCGTAAATCTATCATTGGCCTACATACCTTAGCAGAAGCAAGTGTGATAATATGCAGAAGCAATTATGTAGTGAAACTAAACAGTTCTCAGTTGTGAAGCCTTTGTGTAGGGAGATGAGACATTTTTACCACACAGCTGCTACACAAACGTTATCGCAAAATCATAATGACTAGATTATAACATATTTTTACCACAACTGGGGCACAGAAGAGCACCCTCTTCAAGCTAGGGGAACAAAACTCCACATGAAATTTACCTGCCTCCTATTTCAGCCCAGCCAGACGAATGACCCAATTCTCCTCCCCTCCTACTATCAGTCAGGTGGGATGCCACTCCAGTCACCAGCTGTGCTACATGGGTGTCAAATCCATCTGAGTGGAGGGGAGGAGGCCACATGCATCATAGCAGCTGCTCTACCTTCCTAGCTGTGCAAAGCACATTTCATAGGGGCTCCAAAGCAACACTAGTTTACTGAGAAGTCTGGCAGACAGAGCAAAAGCTGCTACTTCAAGTGCTTTCTTCAGTGCCAGCTGGACATCCTCAGCTCAAAGTACAGCATTTGCTTCAGACTTTTTTCTGTGAGAGAATGCAATTCCTCAGGTAAAAGTGCCCTCGGTAAAAGAAGGGGAAGACGAATGTGTGAAAGTGAGCTTACCCTGCTAAGTGCTTTCCACTCCTGCCCTGCCCACATTTCTCTCACACAAGCAGAGGAGAGAGAAAGAAGAGCAGCGGTCATACCCACACAGGGCAGCATGTGCTCTCTCAAGAAACACTAAGCAGCCCTTTGTCTAAGCTTTGCAACGCTGTGTGTATTTTTTCTCTGGTAATCAGCTAAGCACTATGGAAGCCCACAAGAGTTTTCTAGCCACAGCTACAAAACTGAGACTTTGGCTGAATAGAGATTCCTGACCTACAAAGGGAGTTTGGTTACTTGCCAAAATAATGTCAACCGATTCATTACAGCTGTTCCCAACTTAATGTATGACAGTCTTCCTTAGCGCTATTTCTCCTCTTACTCTGAACAATGGGCTAGACCTTCACTATGCTTGGCCAGGGGAGCTCAGCTGGGGCCTGACATCAGTCAGACGTGCCCTGGGACTGATCTTCCACAAAACCAATAGATCCATCTCGGTGAGAGGGTGGAATTGTTTTTTTGGTAGAAGCCCTGGTGTGGACACAGTTCTGTCCGTGTAAAAGTGGCTCAGGCCACATCTACACAAGGAGTGTAGAAGTGGTACAGGTGACACACAAGCTGCCAGCACTGTCATTTTGCTACAGCACATGCACACTCAGCTGCCTTAGCCAAGGAGTGGGTCCCCAGGGAAAGTGGCTGCAGTGGCAAAAAGCAGAGCACTATGGGTAGGCATCCCAGCATCCCCTGTGCCTCTACCCACTGCACTGCCTTGTCTGCTATTTTGCAGTGCATTGTAGGATACCGGCACTTCACGAAGGGATTATGAGCGCTTGTGTAATTTTCCCATAATTCCCTACGGTCCCTCCCACAACGTACTTTTTCCATGATAGTTTCCGATCTGGAAACTTCCTGCTGTCAGAAAATGGATGCTTAACCACAGAGTGGAGTTCGTGTGTCTTGTTTTTTAACCTAGGCACCTAGTTCTTACAGCAAAGCTATTTGCATATAGAAACAGTAATATCTATGAGGCTTTTAAAGTTAATGAAGCTACACTGAATGAAGTCCACTCTAATTCCAAATAACGGTGTCCACAGGGGTATGCTGCAGTTTAGGTAACCCACTTTCAATTCAGGCCTTGCATTAATGCAGATTAATTTTTCTATGTTCCCCAGTGTAGATGTACCCCAGGAAAATGACTTTTAGGCAAACACAAAACTCCCTGTGGGAACCTGTCAATTTTTTCAACCACTTTTTTTTCAGATGTGTTCAGAGTCCTGCTGGCAATGCTTTGTAGAGTGGAGTCAGCCTAGGCAAGTACTCAACTTCGTCTTGTGACCTCGTTCCAAACAGGAAGCTGACCTGTACGGCCCCCAGTTTCACTACTGTTCAGTCATAGGGGCAAAACCACCCCCAACCACTGGTTTCACTCCAGCACACACCTCCGTCTGAATTAAACTATGCCCATCTTAAAACAAAATAGAAAACCTCAAGCTTCTGTGGCAGCAAAAGTGAATCCCAAATGAATAACAGGGAGAAAGTTTCCTTAGATAGAAAAAGCAGGATATTTGTCTGTAAATAACAGGAGCCATGGAAACTTGTAATCCATGTTTAAAATCCAGCTTGCAAAAGCCAACATTTGCCTCACCATTTTAGTCTTGAAATGTTTAAAAATCCCCATTCTTTGTTTAACACACACACAAACATACAGACTGTCCTCAATTTGGCAAACCCATGACCTCAGTCAAGGGAAATGGTGGGGAGTTAACATCTCTTGCAATCCTTACATTTAGAGAAACTAAAAATAAAAGAGCATTCACTCTAGGGCAAAAAAATAAGTCCTTAAACAACTCAGATTATAAGCAACCCTACAATAAATAAAACAGTGGGTGTATGTAACGGAGGAGAAAAACCGGTACGGAAAGACAGTTCACGTTCAGGCGTCCAAGGAATTCTGCTCAAGCAGTGATTTATTTGTGGAATTTCTAAAGCGGAGGGAGGAAACTGCGCAAAGGTATCAAAGCTGTAAAGCAAGATAAATAGCATGTCACCATATATTTAGCAAACTGTAATGCAAACCTCAGAAAAATAGAGAGAGGAAGGAAAATAGATGTAGTCTATGCTGGAAAGTTATTGAATGCCTAAGGACAACATGCAAACAGTTTCAGGGATGGTGGGATTTCCCCCAGCTATTTCCCCTCTAGAAATAAATCACTGTTCTAAACAACATTGGGGAAATAATAATTTCAAGCCATTAAAATACCTTGGCTGAATCCCTCTTTTCATCAGTGAAACTGTTGTTGGGGGACATTGCCATTTTCTGCAAAGAAAAATTAGCTCATTTAAAAATATTTAATTTTAAAGTGGCTTTTTAATAACTGTAGTTCAGCATGCATTCGATCCATATGAATTATGTATTGTTATTAAAACAAGGTTCGTGTAGCAATGTAAATGTAAGAAAGGACTTGGCAGAAAAGGGTCTGATTCTGAAAAGGATGCTTCCTATCCTCCACCAAGACCACTGGGAATTGACGATGCTCTGCACTGCACATGGTTTGACTCAGAGTACAAAGGCCCAATCCTGAACACACATGAACAACTTTCACATGTGTGAGTGGTCCCATTGACTTCCATGATTGCAGGACAGAGCCCTCAAAGACTGTTTCTGCACAGTGCTCAGCCCCGCCATTACCTATGGAAATCCATAAGTCAAAAGGACTCAGAACCTCAAAAAAGATGCTCAAACCTTGAATGATAACCCCAAGGGAGACAAAATGATAATTTGTTATTATTATTATTATTATTAATAATATAGTCCATGTTCCAGGTCAAATCAGCCAGATCAGTTCCAAATTATATCAACTGAGCAGAACTCAGTAGTTCCAAAAACCATATAGATTGAGCAGGCAGAACCCAATCATTCTAAACACCATGTACAGAGCTACAACCAGCAAGCATCCTCTATCCCTGACTCTCACCCCAGGACTTCAGATACTCTCAAATCCATTGGCAGGCATCCTATGCGCAGGCCCACGCCCAGAGATCCTGGGATTCGGATGTCCCCACTTGATCTTAGCCCACAAGAGGTTGAGGCACTTGATCTGAGCCAAAAAGCTGAGAAGTAAGAGAAAATTAAAAGTTTTTTTGTTAAAAATGTGTCTTATAATATATATATATATAGGTTTTATATGTACAGGTTTTATACACACACATACACACACCTTCTAATCACTGTTCATTACCTACTTAACTGACCAGAGGAACACCTGCGCACCCAATACAATATACGCGCCCATGGAAAATGCTGAAATACTACAAGAAGATCTAGAGACATTACTGGCAAGACAAAATGAGAAGGATTCCCTGGAAGTATGGGGCCTCTTCTGGCATACCTCTGTTGAGTTAAGGCAAGTTAGCATGTCAAAACTTGGCCCTCTGAATTAAAGCAGGGACAGTGAGGGAAGGCATACAGTAGGCAAGAATGAAGAAGCTGTTCCAAGGGAAGGAGCAGCATGAAAACAGCTGTAAACTTATGAATGGAGTCACACAAATCAATCTGGAGTAACCTCACTCTCTTTGAGGGGGTTACTTTGGATTGATACCAGCGGGATGGAGATTAGCATTTGGCTCAGGTGCATTCATTACCATAAGCAGTCACTTGGGAAAGTATAAAGTCGCATTTTATAATTGGCAAATGCCTGTGCTACAGATGGTCCATATCTATACTACTGCAAAGGCTTCTTCCTTATTGGCTTCTTTCCTATTGTACACCATGTACAAGTGCCCAAGGTGTGCTGAGATGGCATGTCTCCTGCTTTATCACCACAGTGAACCTGAACTTTGCCCTAGCCTGACCAAGATAATGAGCTGTTATGATTATTATATAACTGTCAGTGTGAGGCATCCAGCATACACAAGAGAAAGGAGCAGGAGAGGCGGGAATTGAGCTGACACAGTCATCCCTTTAAATTAAACTCAGAATAAATAAACCAATTAAACAATATTCAATCAGAGATGCAAAGAAGTGAGCAAGAGTAGAGGCCAGCACAGGCCAACTCCCTGCAAATGTAATTGGTTTTTTTTCCAATCTCTGGGCTGATTTTAATTGTGTATGCCTCTGCCTTGCAATTTTGTTGCTGCTGCATGCAGAATAAAACAAGAAATCCCTGCAATAAACGTAACATATCTAAAAACAAGCACGTCGATTGCTGTGGCTGTCTCCAGAGGATTTCTGAGCACCTTGCAGGCATCCTGCAAATGCTGACAGCTCCACAATGAGGTTCATGGGCATAAAGTTACTCACATGTATAAAGGCTTGTCTGCACAGGGGAAGCTACTGTGAAATCAGCCGGGGTGAGAATTTAAAAGTACGGAGGCTATTCTGCACAAAGGCTCTTTTAGCTTCAAATAAAAGTGTTCACACAGAAGGGCTCATGTGGAATAGCTCTGTCTGGGGAGTGCTTACATGTGGTTTAGCTCCGTTCACTAAGTGCACAAATCCACTACCCCGCGCAGGGAGTAAATGCAGAATAACGACCGGACTTCAAGTGCCAGACCAACTTGATTTCACTACAGTTTCCCCAAGAAAGGCAAGCCCCAGCATGATGAACTCTAAGTGAGTCGGCATGGGCAGCTGTTTTGTAGGGCTGTGCAAAGCTTCGTTCCCCGATTCAATTCAGAGGAAATTTGGCCCAATTCAGTGGCCGAATCTCAGAATCCGAATCGAATCAGAGGACTCTTTAATGTCTCTGAATCCAATTGGGACCCTCTGCATCGATTCAGACAGACAGCTTTAAATGTTTTTTCTACATACGTGTAGGTAGCAGGTGGCCTGCGAACACTACGATGCTGGGGCATCCCACAGGAGCGAGGGGGCTCCCCAGCGCACTCGGAAGTGGACCAGAAGCGCTTCTGGTTCACTTCCGGTTCTGCTGGGGAGTGTGCTGGGGCCCCCCCGATGTCCCCACGGCTCGGTGGGGTGCATTCAGGGGCCTCCCATGGCTGATTGCCGAGTTGGGGAGGATGTGGGGTGGCTTCTGGTCCACTTCCGGGTTCGCTGTTGAGCACGTGGGCGCCCCCCCCACTCCCGTGGGACACTCCACGCGCCCCAGCATCGCAGCGATCACGAGCTGCCTGCTACCTCGAGGCACGTAGAAAAAACATTTAAAGCAGTCTGTATGTTCGAATCGACTCGGAGGGTCCCACTTTGATAGGGAGAGATTAAAGGGTTCTCCGATTCGATTCGGATTCTGAGATTCGGCCACCGAATCAAGTCGAATCTCCTCTAAATCGAATCAGCTGCGTCTTGTCACAACCCAAGGGTGTGATTTTGTGTGCGCGCGCTTCGGCACTGCTAAATTATTTC